CTCTGGTAGTCATAAATTCCACCTGTCAGCACAGACACAGGTGTTAAAGCCCTGAGGCACCTAAAAGCACATTTGCCTCTAAAACCCAGGATAAATGAATGAAAATTTGTTTGGGTAAATAAGCCCATATGGGGTAAGGCCTGAGAAGGACCTTACATGGGGTCAGATCAGGTACACACAGGTATTTGGTGCAAGATGCAGCACAAGCTGTTCCCTCTGTTGTCTTTCAGTGACAGCAGTTGCCACAGAATTGCTCAGCAATGAATGGTAAAGTGTCCCAGAGCAGCCATTTGCCCCAAATAGTATCTTTGAGGTGCCTCACCTTCCAGCCTTACCCCTTGGGTGCTGCTCTCACCCCCACCATTTGCTGAGAGCAAACCCTGAAGTCCTGGACTGAGAACACAGATCTTTTTTTGCTATAATTTTCATATTTCCATGCACAGAAAGGGCTTTGGGCAGTAAACATTAAAGCAGGCAGTGCCCTCCCCTTTTACATGGAACTAGAGCAAAAAAAGTCTGATCCAGCTCAGATCAGCTGGAGCAAAAGCAGCTTGGTGTGATGACAGCCTGTGGTCACCATGGGGCTGCTCACAGGAACCCACCGATCCGGATCGATCAAGGTGCTGAGATTCATCTCCTGGCTCCTTTCAGCACAGTCTGGGACTCCAGTCCAGCCTCTGCCTCTCCCAGTAATTGTGTTTTATCACTCTCACAGAATTGCTTTTCTCTGGAGCAAAGTCCTGGTATTTTTTCATTACCATGGCAGGGAAACAAGGCTCAGTGACAGGCAGTTGCACTGTTTTAACTGATTTTTGCTTTTTTTCAGTTTAGTTCAAAACAAAGGCTTGCTGTGCTCCAAAACAAAGCACATGCTTATTTTCTTCAGTGTTTAGAGTTCTGATTTGTTCCATGATTTTAAATTTATTTTTCAGGTGTTTTTTGGTTTTTTTTAAATAAAACAAAACAACAAAACAAGGAGCAAAGTAACCAGCAGCAGCCTTTCTAAGCAGGTTCCTTCTGCCTCATTCTCCATCTGAAATCCTGGGAACAGAGTGAGGATTTGCTCTTGTTCTCTCTGTGTTTCCTGGCCTTGTAACTCTCTGAATATTAATTTCTACACCTGGCGTGTGCATTTCATCTGCTTGTGGAGGTCACTAGGAAGTGTGTGAGCAGAACAAGAGACAAGGTAAAAGGATGAAATCCTGGCAGGAGTTTCATGTCTCTGTGTCTTTATACATTCTTTTGGGCACTTTAGTGTCAGCTGATGGACCAGATCATGTGTATTCTTACATCTTTCAGATTCAGCAAAAGGGGTGACCTTGGGGGACTCTACTACCTCCTTCTTCCAAAGGAAGCAAAGCAACTATTTATTCCCAAGTCACTGATACCTGGACACAGATTTGTACCTCTGTGGGGCTGTCCTGTTTCACTCGGTACCTCAGCTGTGGGTGCCTGGTCTGAAGGGGCAGGTGGTGGGTCTGGGTTCTCCCACACCCATTTGAACTGTGGCCCTAATCACTGGGGGTAAGAAACACATTTGAACTGTGGCCCTAATCACTGGGGGTAAGATGGAAACACAGCACCTTTGGAGCTACACAGGTTATTGTATTCCAGAAGTATGTTGGGTCAGACAACTATGCCAAGCACAGCATAAATTTGTGCATTGTCTGATCTCTGCTCATCCTTTGTAATTCCTGTTAAATACTCAAAATTCCCTGACTGGCCAGGTTGTATGAAGAGCGAAAGCTCCTGGGAAATCCTTCTGCTTTCAAATACAGGAAGATAATTTTTGAGTTGGAAGCAAATGCAACTTGTGTTGCTCCCACCATGCTTGGCATACGTTCCCGAGCCTAAGCCATGCAGCACAACTAGGGATCACTCAGAGAATCAGCCAGAGGAGGTCCTAGCAGGTTGAGTGCTTACAGAAATGAGTGCTTTGGAAGAGGAACACACGTGGTTTCCATACAAGGTTTATACAAGGGCAATACCTGAGAAAAAGCACCTGCACGTCCCTCTGCCCATGGACGTGCTTTGAGGTCAGACCAGAAGGATGTTGAACACATTTAGAAATGTGAAGCCGTTTCTCCTCCCATATGGTTTATTGAGGATCTCAGTTTTCAAAGCATGAGTAGCAGTGAGGCCCATTATTCTTTCCAACATGCAAAAGGCACAAGAAAGTCATCCATGTGATTCTGTGCAGAGTGTCTCTAAGAAAACACGTCGCTAGGAAATGCCAGGAGAAGAGCCCCCGATGGCAGAGAAAGCCAAAGTGCCTTCAGGAAAGTGCTGAGAAGTTCTGAAAATGGTCGTACTTTTTCAGAGTCCAGTGATGCTCAGTCGGTGAAAGATGCTTCGCAAATCCATGAAGGAAAACTCAAGAGACAGAGAAAAAAAAAAAAAAAGCCTTAAAACAATCATCTCCTTCGTGTGCCAAAATTCAGGATGGAAGTCAAAACGATTTCTCTCAGGAAAAAAGTGCAGCAGTGAAAGACAGACATTAAATTCGATAAATAAATAAATAAATAAGCCTACCAAAAGGTAGAAAGTGGATACATTCTAAGGGCAGCTCAATAAAAAATATTCCTTCTCATGAAAATAATTTTTTTTAATGGGTATCTGAAGAACACAAACCCACCTTGAGTGTGAGCAGCTACTGCACCTTCCTGCTCCCAGGAAGGCCCCCGAGCACGACAGCACGACACCTTCTAGGAGAAGAAACCCACTACCTGCGTGTGTGAAATGTGGCCAGTGAACAAACACAAATGTATAGGACCGAGTCTTTGAGTCCCGTTATTGAACTTGGGCATCGGGAAACTTCCCAGGGCTCCCATCTCTCCCCCTGGATGAGGCTGGTGCTGGAGGCAGTGGCGCTTCCCGGTGGGCAGGGCTGAGCCCCTGAACCCCTGAGCCTCTCGCTGGAGTTAAATACTTAAACCTAAAAAAGGCATTTACAAGTTGACGTAATTTGTTGCTGCTGTTGTTGTCTTATTTCCTTGCAGTGCACGTTTCTACTTCTAGACTATGGAATGTTACATTAAACAATATAATTATTCATTACCTTGCTTCAAATTTCATTACAGTTACTGAGGCTTCATCATAATTTCACACAGCACAGAGAGACACCAAACTAAACACCGAGCAGCCAGCACTAGATGTACTTTTTCTTTAAGTACCAATAAGCAAAATATCCCATTCCCCCCAGAGATCCCATCAGGAAGGAGGCTCCGAAGAAGGAGGGAGGTTTCCTCTTGACCAGCCTGAAGGCGTTGGGGAGCACTGCAGAGAGGAGGGTGGTGTGTATATCTCCCAAAACTTTCCTGAAGGCGAAGCGTTTCTGTATCCTGTCGAAGAAGGACTGGAGGTTGGGTCTGCTGCCGTCCTCCCAGTATTTCTTTGAGAGTCCCAGAAACTTGAGGCGGTGCAGGGTGGCTCCTAACAAGACGTCAGCCAAAGTAAAGACGCAGCCGCAGAGCCAGAGCTCGCACTTCTGCCCTGGAGAGAGAAGGGATGAGCAGGAAGGGTAAGAAGAAACCCTTGGGATGGGCACCTAAAGGCTTGCTCAAAAGATCCACGAAGGCAGGAGCGTTTGCACTGGACCTGGGGTGATTTTTCTCAGCTCTCTGATGTCCCAAGAGATCAGACCCCATCTACCAGGCTATGGGATGGAGGATTTGTGGGGCCACAGAGCTGGGAAGAGGAGATGATCATTTATAGCCCGCATCAAGGTGCAAATTGCTATCTGCAAAATGGGTCTGTGGCCTCTCTCCCAGCTCAAGAGCTGGAGGAGATGGCACCTTCCAGGAGGTCCCTGGAAATGGGTCCTTGCCCCCACCTTGAAGGAAGATGTGGTGCAGTGACCCCTTCTGTGTTAGCGCTTGGGCAGAGCAGCAGCGTTTGTCCTTGGCTGCACCAGGACCTGCTTCAGGGGTGTCATGTTAACTTGTCCTATTTTAGGGATGTGAGAAATCCTCAGGACTTAAAACCATTTGTTGGATGGTCTGGCTGCTGTCCCTGTGCACTGCCAGGGAGGTCCTGCCTCTATCCCCTCTCCAGCAGTGAGGACCCTGCTCCAGGACACCAAAACTGGCAGCACATCTGTGCCCTGTGGGAAGCAGAGCTGGGTGTGAATGCTGGGTGTGAAGAAAGGCAACAAGGCACTGATGGCCCCTGATAGTGGTTGACCCTGGAAATAACCCCACCAGAGAGACACCTGGGGATAAACCAAACTGTTGCTAGGCTGGAAGAAGCGGGCTCAGGCCCACTTAACACTCTCCCAATGTCTTCTCAAAACTGAGGAGCAGGGCTGAGATGAAGGTAAGGGAGCTGGAGGGAGGTGCAGGTAAGGAGGAACAGCAGAAGGGGCTGGCTCCATCCAGACTAAGCCCCTGGCTTTGCACCAGATCCTTAATTTTGGGGCTCCCCAATGCTCTGTGGCTGTTACATCAGGGAAGGAGAGAAGGGCACATTTAGTGCCCCCTGCACCAGCACTGGTGCTGCTGGGCTGCCTGCAGGGTCAGGCCAGGGGAATTACTGGTAATTAGCAGCCCTCGTTTGTAGCCGATTGGCAGCCTGCCTGATCCTGCTAGAGGCACAGCCCAAGTGGACAGATTGCCTGTGCCTAATTAGTTAATAAATGTTTGCAGTGACTAATGAATTGTGGGGGTGCCACAGCTTCAGCCTCCTGGGTGCTGCAGGGATGCTGTGGATGCCCTGGCTCAGAGGTAAGGGATGTAGGGCTGAGGTACCTGCTCGGATCCTGGTGAGGAGAAAGCACACCTGGGGTTGGTGGCTTTGTGAGGATGGTGGCTTCAGGAGAGAACTTTGATCCAGCCCTAACCCTTCCTGTCTCTGGGTTTGTACCCACTGCTGAGGCCTGGACCCAGCTGCACTGGGGCAGAAGCATGGGCAAGGGCAATTTGTGCCCTTGGCATCTGTGGCAGCTCCAGCTTGGAGCAGCCTGTCCCAGCCAAGGAATGCCTATGGCAAGGGGTCACCCCGTGCCCCTGCAGCATCTCCCACCCTCCTGGCCTGCCCTGCCTGCCCGCGTGGCTGCAGGTTGGACCAGCAGCCTGGGCTGCGTGGGAGGGGAGCTGCTGCACTGCGGATCCTGGGAGGCTGCCAACGGGCTGGTGCTTGTGCCTGCTGCTGAGATCCTGACCTGGCTGTGGGCACAGTGGGGGAGTTTGGAGGCCTGGAGCAGAGGGCAGGAGCAGAGAGGCAAGGATCAAAGGCAGCAGAGTGTTTGGGTGCCAGCTGTAGCCACCATCTCTCTGCTCCGGGCAGCTGAGAATGTCCTCCCAGGGCATCTTGTTAAGCTGAACTCTGCTGAGTTGTCCCAGCTCTTGAGTCAGTTAATGAGGGTGTTTGTCAGACGCAATCAGGGCAGGCAGGGTGCTGCTGAGAACGCAGCAGGGCTCTCAGCAAATCCCTGACCTGCTGCCTTGCAGGGTCAGACCTTGGCACCTCCGAGGCCCTTTGGTGCCACCCGGGCTGACGCACGGCTCCCCGGGGGCAGGGGCAGCTGTGGGGCCACCCCCTGGTTGACTGTGTCTGGGCTCTGCTCCAGAACTGGCACCACAGTGCTGGCAGCCACCAGCCCTCCCAGGGCTGAGGTTTTGAGCCCTGCTGGCAGTGGGGACAAGAGGATGACGGCGTCATCCTGGGGTGATGGCAGGACAAGCGATGCCCAGCTGTGCTCAGGCATCCCTGTCTGCCAGGCACCCAGCAGCATGTATTTGATGTTGGAGATGGCTGGTGTCACTCTCTCCCACCTGCTGGCACTTGACGCAGGTCTTGTAGAGGGTCCCAGCCCTCTAGGGCCCCTCAGATTCCCATTGGGTTTCCCTGGCCACGCTCCGCTGGGATGTGCCACAGCCCCGTGGCCAGGGAGGTTCTCAGCTGCAGGACAAGACCCCAGCTCTTGGCTTTTGGCAGCCTGTGTTCCTCAGGGTGCTAGAGCCAGCCCACTCCTTCCTGAACCAGCCAGGACATCAGTCACTGGCAGCCCTTCCTGGGGCAGAGGGGACCTGCCACCAGCCCACAGTGACTTTGAAGGTCCCACAGAGCAGCCATGAGGAGAGAGGTCCCACTGACCCTGTGTTGAGGGCTGCAGGGGTTGTTTGCCAGAGGTTAGCAACACTAGGCTGCAATGACATTGGTGTTCCCCAAGACAGGAGAGCCCAGCAGGAGCCCTGGCCCCGCTGGTGATTGCCCAGTGTGAGACATTGATCAGGTTGCACCTCAGCCTGGTGTGGAAAAAAACCCCATAAATTCAGGCCAGTGCCTACCTTGGTACTCCAGTTTCCTCTTCTCCAGCTCAGCTTCAATCTGGTCCAGCACCATTCCCAGTTCACCAAGGATCTTCTTCAAGTAGTTCACATTGTCGTGCTCCAAGATCTTGGCCTGGGTGGAGAGCAGGATTAGGATGGAAGGATGGATGGATGGATGGATGGATGGACATGCATCTTTGCAATTGTGCAGTGACGTAAGGCACTGGGTGCCCATGGAGGGTTTGTGAGTCATGTCCCCTCACCACCAGAGATGTGTGTAGCTTTGATGCACTTACCATGAGCTTCTTCTGCTTGGAGAGGTAGGGCTCTGATAGCTGTGGCTCCTCTTCATGGTCCAGCTTCATCAGATCAGTGCTGGCATTAGCTAAATGTCCTGGAGGGAGATAGAGAGAGGGGCTGGGGGGGCTGTGTTTGGCAGGGGTAGGGTTGACCTTGTGTGTGAAATAGTGTGACACCAAGAAAAACACCCTGGAGAGCTGAAATGGGCCAAATTCATGGATTGCTCCTGCCATGTTGCCATATGAGTGGGTGCCTGGGGCACCACACACCCTCTCAAGGGCATGTGGCTCCTCCAGCCCTCCCACTCCCTCACAGCAGGGCAGGGGGGTACAGCAGATCCCTCTCCCTGGCTCTCACCCTGCAGGTTTCAGAGGAGGGTTCAGGTCTTCATTCCTCTGCTGGCTTCATGTCCAGGAATTCAGTTTGGCAAGATGGAGCCCATTGTGAGCATGGAAAGCCCTTTCTCCTCTCTCCCAGGGCACAGAGAGGATGTGAAGGGCTTTGTGGAAGGGAGGTGGCAGAGGGAAAGGAGCAGAGTAAATGGAAGAGGAGAACAGGAGATGCAGAGTAACACCTTAGGGACAACATAAATTACCCGAAGCTGGGCTAATGTCTTCCTGCCAGGACCATCTGTCTCTCCCCCCTTGTTCCCTCCAACAAGGACTTGGCTCTGCTGATGTGCAGGGGTGGGAGGTGCCAGGGCTGGGACAGCAGCCATCAGCTGTCACATGCTGCCACAAAACAGTGAAACTCCCTCTTTTCCACCAGGAGCCTTGAAGCTCACGCTCCCTAAGGCTCCCAGCTGGCTCTCCTAGGGCCGTAACTTGGAGGGAAGCCTGGATATCACCCTGGTTTCATCACCCTGTTCCCCCTGGGAGAGCCTGACCCTCAGTTCACAGTCTCCTTGGGACAAAACCACACGGATTCTCCTCAACAGCTGAGCCATTACCTGGGCATAAGGGGATGTGTCCCACTGGCACCGGGGCTTCCTACAGACTTGCTTACATCCCCTCCATTGCAATGGCTTTGAAAAATGCCACCAGCAAGGAGTTTGGACAGGGACATATTCCTAAGGACCTCAGCAGAGTGCTGGAGAGGGCATGAGAGGCAGATGGGGTCCATCACAGCAGCACCCTTTGGGGAGGGGATGGGCTCTGCACCCCACGTCTGCCCGAGGTCTGGGGGTGGAGAAGACACTTGGTGACACCAAGAAAGCTGCCTGTACAGGGTGGCAGCAGAGGCAGGGCAGACCATGAGAGGCACCTCAGGAACAATCTATTTCTCTGTGTGAAAGCACATCCCATTTCAGAGGAACCATCTGTGATCTGGACAGCTCGAGGGGGAAGAACAGTGTTGGTTACAGGTACCATTTGGGCCCCGAGCCTGAAGGACAGGAGACACGTGGGGCACACCAGTGATTCCTAACAAGGTCACTTTTTCTGGCAAGGGAGTATCTCCAGGAGTGATCCTTGCTCTTGGTTATATTAAGCATCGTGAATGTTTCATGAGCACTTGAAGGTCAGGTTCACAGTCTTAGCCATCCACATTCTGCAACTCCACCTGGCTGTGCCCTCCTCCCACCTCTCCTTAGAGCTACTGGAGGCAGAGGGGACACGCAGGAGAGGGAGCAAATTCCTTTGCCCCAGAAAGAGCAGGGCGAGAAGCGTGGAAGCTGGACACCCTCAGGGTTAGGAAGCCTCTACAGGGTGCCTGCAGCTCCCAAATGATCTTTGTCCCTGCCCATGTTGGTGGAAAGGGCAGACAAGAGCAGGGTGGCTGGCCGGGCTGCAGAGCCGACCTGGGCCTGAAGGAAGGGCTGGAGGAGCCGTCCCTGGGCAGCCCTGCTGGGGAGGCGACTTACTGCGGATCTCAGCGGTCGCGTACTTTGGGATCATGGAGTCGGTGGTGAGCTCGGGGTGCAGGATGCAGCCGTGGGTGTAGGCGTCCATGGGCAGCGAGTCCAGCAGCTCCCGGTACTGCAGCACCCGCGCGTGCAGCAAAGTGCCCGGCTCCGGGATCAGCCGCGTCACGTTCTCTGGGGGAGCGACGGGGAGGGTGTTACTGGGACACTCATTAGTGTCTCGTTAGCCAGGAGTCCATCCAGCCTGTTCCCATGGGCAAACCCACAGGCCATGGGGATGTGTACGTCTCCTTACTCAGGCCCGTGTCCCCCACGTCCCCAGCCCTCAAGCCCTTCTCCTCTGCAGCCCCTGAATTTGTACCCTGTGGTTGCACAGCTCTCAGAAGGGGAACAAAATCTTCCTGTTCCGCAGAAAAGAGCTAAAACGTGGAGATTTGTGTTTGGGATCTCCTGAGTCACACACTTTTCACACCAGTGGCAACGAGGCACCTAATTCTCTTGGCCTTTCTTGAAAATCCCACCCAAAATGGACAACCAGGGAGCCAATGACCAAAGAAGGAGCCCAGCACATCTCCTCTCCATGCTCAGTGGGTGCCTCAGCTGCAGGAACATCCCTCACCCCGGCTCACTCTGCTCCTCCTCACTCTGCTGGGCTTTATTCATCTTTTGTGGATGGCAGTTTGTATCCTGCTCTTTTTTATTACACTCTCAGCTCAAAATACGTGGCAGATGACACCACAAGGAGGGAAATGTTGCTGTTCTCTCCCCCAAGAACATCAGGTCTGTGTGTTTGGGTTTTGTTTTTTACGGGATCATAAATGTTCATGGCTTTTGCAGACAGGAGTTAATAGGCAGTGAGTAAATTTTCCACTGGGACTCAACACACCTGGGTTACCCACCTGCAGGGCTCACTGACTGCTGGGGGCTTGGGCTCAAAAGGGGTTTGGCACACATGGGCAATGAAGCTCCTTAGTTGAGAGCCTGAAATGCCAGTAGTGCCAGTAGGAAGGCTGGGGGCACAGCCCAGTGCTGCCCACAGACACACAGCTCCCCCCGCCCGGCAGCCTCGCGCCCCTGGGCACCTGCAGCTGGGCAGGAGCCAGTGAGATTCTGGCAGCTCCTGCAGTGCAAACCTCCCAGCAGCTCTTAGCCAGGTTTGGTAGGCTCCACAAAGTTGTTCTGACTGGTGGGCACCTGTGCCACTGTCCCCTGAGTGAAGGGAGGTTTTGGTAGCTCCTCCCTGCCCGCGGAGGGCCCACTGCCTGTGCTGCCTGGGCTCCAGCTCTCCACGGGGGGATTTTCCATCCAAGAACAACGACTGGCTGAATGACATAATAGTCACTGACCTATAGCCTGCATGCTTCATCCACAGGTATCCTGGCCAGCACCCAAAGAGTGGGTGCTGAGGCTGGAAAGCATCACACGCGGAGCGACTGCCCCGTGTGGCAGCGAGACAGAGCGAGCACAGTGAAGGAGCAGGGTGCTGGCTGCCTGCTGGCTCCTCCAGCACGTCCCAGGGAGGGCTTCTGCTGGGATGGTGCTTGCTCTGCCTTTGTCATAGTCGTAGTGGACCTGCACGTATGGGCTGCTGTCACAGAGTCAGCAAGTGAGAGGCTATGCAAAGGTGGGATGGTGGGGAACCTCAGAAGGACAGGGCTGGGAGCTGCAGCCCCTCGCTCAGGCTCTGAGAGATGGTGCCACCAGCCAAACTATCCGTGGTTTCTTGGCACTGCTGGGTCATGCCCTAGGGAAAAGCACCCTCAAAGGTGGCTTATTGGCACTATTCCCTGCTTTTTTGGGAGGGGGGAAAGAAAACCACTGCTCCTCACACCACGCTTTACTAACAGCTGAGAAAGACCATCCTCCCGGCCCAAGCGAAAACCAAACTCAGACAACACACCTTCTTATCAAGGCATTTGTAAACTCTGTAGGTTTCTTCCAGGAGTGCCCTCAGACCAGCACCACAGCACCCAGGTAAGGCTTTTGGCAGCCAGCACAGGGGGCCCTGGCTGGAGGCAGAGCCTGCAGCAGGGAGTGATGCCCCAGGCCCCCCTCCCTCTGCCCCAGAGCTTCCTTCTCCATTTCTCAGCAAAAAGGTAAGAACTTGCACCTGGCTGGAAAATCTCAACGACAGGAGTTTCCCAGTGCACGGGCAGTGCTGTGTGTTCCCCCCCCCACTGGGGACAGCCTGTTGTCACATATGCCAGACCACCTGCCCTTCACAGAGACTGGGCAAAGCAGTGTGGGGACTTCAGCCCCACGGATCAACGGCCCCCAATGTCCCTTGGTCCCAGGGCTGCAGCCAGACAGGAAAGTGTCTGTCCTTCCCTGGGCTCCTCCTGCTCGGTCCTGTCCCCTCTGCCCACGGGCAGTGAGCACTGTGCCTCTGCTGAGCAGCACCAGCGGGGCCGGGAGAGGACAGCAGCTGAGCTGGCAAGACGCCCTTGCTTGGGGAGCTATTTTGAGATGTTTTTGATGTCTCTGTTGCAAGGGGGATGGATGCTGGAGCGAGCGTCGTAATGGCACAGCCTGAGCTCCCTGCTCAGCTTTGAAGCCTTCCCGGCAGAGTGTCCCAGCCTGGCAGCTCACAGGCTCAGGGAAAGGAGGGCGAAGGGACATGAGTTGCTGGGCAGAGGGTGCTTGCCACAGCAGCTGTGCCAGCAGCCACCTGCCAGCACCACATCAGCATCCCAGCCTGCTGGGCTGGGCTGACACAGCCCTATTCCAGGGAAAAGACAAGCTTCCCTCTCCCTTCTGTCCCTTTCTGTCTCATTATCCTTTCATGGTTCCCAGCACCACTGGCTCTTTGACTAAGAACCTGTTTTCTCTCAAGGACATCCACCTGTCCTGCCCATCCTGCTGGTGGCACAGGACTCATCAAGAAAGGGGAGAGGGGCAGCAGCATCTGGCTCAAACCCACCTTCTCTCAGCGGGGCCACTTACAAGGAGTTACTGGACTTTTTATACCATTACCTGAGGCCAAACTACAAAGGTGAACAAACCTAGAAGTACTTCCACAGGCCATGCCTCAGCTGTGGCTCTGGTGAGATGCCACCATGCACCACAGGGACGGGGAGAAACAGTCTGGTTTGGGAGCCTAACCTCCAACGGCTGAAAAAGAGGGGACCCAGCTACACTTCCCCCCAGCCCCTTCCAAGGGGCTTCTGGGGACTTCTGCTGGAAATCCTTCATTTTCATGGGAAAATGCCAAAGTCCAGGGAGAGCTTGCTGGTCTTCTGGGATAAAGCTGAAACTTTCAAGAACAAAGTGCCTACATCTGGATCAGACCCGAGTTTCCCCCAGGACACAGCCCGCCCCTCCCCTCACCTCCTGTGAAGTTCTTCTCCATGTAGTCAATGATCTGGTTGTAATCACTGATTATGTTGTCCTTGTGGATGATGACAGGCACCTCCTCCCCCAGGTTGAGCCTCATGAACCAGGGCTCCTTGTGCTCCATCAGGGGCAGGCTGACATCTCGCTCCTCGCAGGGCAGCCCCTTCTCCGCGATGACCAACCGCACCTGGGGCAAAACACGGGGGACACAGGGCTCAGCCCCCCACACTGAGAGCCCTTGAGGCACCCCAAAAGCCCCACCCCTGCTCCATCACACCCCTGACCCTCTCCTGCTGCTTCTGCACAGCCATGCTCATCCTGCAAGTAGCTCCTGACGTGGTGCAGCTGCAAAATTCAGGCAGCCGAGAGCGAGTTTCCCTTCCTAGCCAGTGAGGGAGACCCAAACCCATCCTAACGTTGTGGGATGATGGACCATCCTCCTGTTGGTCGCTGGTGGGCCATGCAACAGGTGGAGGAGCTGAGAGCCCATTCCTCAGCAGCAGCTGGAGGGAAGCAGCAGCTCCCCAGCTGAGAAGGATGAGTGATGCTGCTCCAGGTCAAACATAGCCCAGCACATATCAGAGGAACAAGAGGAGAAGGAAGAGGCAGCTTTACAGCCAAGGTGTGCTATTCAGGTAAGCCTCACTCTCAGGGATGGGCCCTGGCTTTACTGTACCATGGGTGGGAAGGCCAAGCCCAGCAGTGTGGAGAAGCAGGGGGAGGCAGGAGTGGGGCTGGATATGTGACACTGGTCCTATTGCCCATGGGCAGCCCTTGGAGCTCATCCTGCTGCTTTGCTCTGTGCTGGAGGTGGTGCTGAATATGCACTCAGGGATGGAATTTTAGGCATCTGGGTTATAAAAATCCAACTGTTACAAGCTAAGTATGTCAAGCAGGCAAAAAAACCCAAGACCTTGGGGGTGATGGCACAGCCTGAGCTCCCTGCTCAGCTTTGAAGCCTTCCCGGCAGAGTGTCCCAGCCTGGCAGCTCACAGGCTCAGGGAAAGGAGGGCGAAGGGACATGAGTTGCTGGGCAGAGGGTGCTTGCCACAGCAGCTGTGCCAGCAGCCACCTCCCAGCACCACATCAGCATCCCAGCCTCCTGGGCTGGGCTGACACAGCCCTACTCCAGGGAAAAGACAAGCTTCCCTCTCCCTTCTGTCCCTTTCTGTCTCATTATCCTTTCATGGTTCCCAGCACCACTGGCTCTTTGACTAAGAACCTGTTTTCTCTCAAGGACATCCACCTGTCCTGCCCATCCTGCTGGTGGCACAGGACTCATCAAGAAAGGGGAGAGGGGCAGCAGCATCTGGCTCAAACCCACCTTCTCTCAGCGGGGCCACTTACAAGGAGTTACTGGACTTTTTATACCATTACCTGAGGCCAAACTACAAAGGTGAACAAACCTAGAAGTACTTCCACAGGCCATGCCTCAGCTGTGGCTCTGGTGAGATGCCACCATGCACCACAGGGACGGGGAGAAACAGTCTGGTTTGGGAGCCTAACCTCCAACAGCTGAAAAAGAGGGGACCCAGCTACACTTCCCCACAGCCCCTTCCAAGGGGCTTCTGGGGACTTCTGCTGGAAATCCTTCATTTTCATGGGAAAATGCCAAAGTCCAGGGAGAGCTTGCTGGTCTTCTGGGATAAAGCTGAAACTTTCAAGAACAAAGTGCCTACATCTGGATCAGACCCGAGTTTCCCCCAGGACACAGCCCGCCCCTCCCCTCACCTCCTGTGAAGTTCTTCTCCATGTAGTCAATGATCTGGTTGTAATCACTGATTATGTTGTCCTTGTGGATGATGACAGGCACCTCCTCCCCCAGGTTGAGCCTCATGAACCAGGGCTCCTTGTGCTCCATCAGGGGCAGGCTGACATCTCGCTCCTCGCAGGGCAGCCCCTTCTCCGCGATGACCAACCGCACCTGGGGCAAAACACGGGGGACACAGGGCTCAGCCCCCCACACTGAGAGCCCTTGAGGCACCCCAAAAGCCCCACCCCTGCTCCATCACACCCCTGACCCTCTCCTGCTGCTTCTGCACAGCCATGCTCATCCTGCAAGTAGCTCCTGACGTGGTGCAGCTGCAAAATTCAGGCAGCCGAGAGCGAGTTTCCCTTCCTAGCCAGTGAGGGAGACCCAAACCCATCCTAACGTTGTGGGATGATGGACCATCCTCCTGTTGGTCGCTGGTGGGCCATGCAACAGGTGGAGGAGCTGAGAGCCCATTCCTCAGCAGCAGCTGGAGGGAAGCAGCAGCTCCCCAGCTGAGAAGGATGAGTGATGCTGCTCCAGGTCAAACATAGCCCAGCACATATCAGAGGAACAAGAGGAGAAGGAAGAGGCAGCTTTACAGCCAAGGTGTGCTATTCAGGTAAGCCTCACTCTCAGGGATGGGCCCTGGCTTTACTGTACCATGGGTGGGAAGGCCAAGCCCAGCAGTGTGGAGAAGCAGGGGGAGGCAGGAGTGGGGCTGGATATGTGACACTGGTCCTATTGCCCATGGGCAGCCCTTGGAGCTCATCCTGCTGCTTTGCTCTGTGCTGGAGGTGGTGCTGAATATGCACTCAGGGATGGAATTTTAGGCATCTGGGTTATAAAAATCCAACTGTTACAAGCTAAGTATGTCAAGCAGGCAAAAAAACCCAAGACCTTGGGGGATGTGAGAAAGCCACCTTTTACAGAACCTTTGAATGAGGGAAAAGCATCTATTTCCCTTCAGCTTGCAGCAGCTAAAAATACAACTGAACAAACCTAAGCTTTTCTATCTACTTCAGAGCTCCTCGGGAATTATTCATTAATTATTTACAGGGCTGGCAAATTAATTTTTTTCTTTTAAAATCAAACAAGGAAAACTCTATGTCCCTCAGCTGTAACTTGCTCTTGGCCTTTCTCCTCCCAGCTCATGGATAAACTCTGGGCAGGACCACCCATGGTATCTGTCCCCAAACTCCTGGTGCTTCCCTGTTCTGCCGTGAGGAGCTGAGGCCAAAGGCCTGGCAGGAGGCAGCTGCTGAGCATGGGGCAGCACAGGCAGGAGGGCTCAGCTCCTGGGATAATCCTGGTGCCCACGAGTGGGGGGAGCCCCTGCCAGCACCCCAAGGAGGGGCCCCGGGGTGATGAAACGTGCCCAGCCCCTGCAGCGCCCGCATGGCTGTGATGAAGCATCTTGTGTGAAAACCCAACGTTGGCTGTAAAACTCCAAAAATCCCTTAGCAGGAAGGGGCCGGATCCCGGTGGGGGGCTCAGCATCCTTCCCACAAACAGCCCCAGCACCCAGGGTGGCCGAGCAGCTCCTGGGGCAGAGCAGGGAAAGCTTCACCAGCAGCCGGGAGGGAGCAGAGCTGCCCTGCAGGGAGTTCCCGTGCAGCCCCTGCCGCTCCCTGCCCTGCCCATCGCACCAGCCGGTGCTCTCCCGCCCTCCAGCACACCCTGGTTCCGTGCGAGTGACCCCAAAACCGAAGCTCGAAGTGGTGCTGGGGTTCTGGCGTGCCCTGCCCTGTCCCCAGCATCCCCAGCCCCGCGGCAGTGCGGTCGGTTGTAGGAAACCCCCCTACACCAAGTGCCTGAGCCGCTGTTCCCCGCTGCTGCTGGCCAGCTGAGCGAGACAAAAGCCAAGCAGCCAGCCCGAGGGGAGGCGGGTGGACCCGGC